AGCCCCTCTTATAGCGTTGCTAGTTGTAGGTGAAGATTGGAGACCGTTCCTTGTTGGAACATTATTTACTTGTTGGGATATCATTATATTATCTTGTTATCTTAATGCATCTATATACTTGGTAAAGGGTGGAAGGCTCGGCCTCTCGCCTAGTGTTTTGTTCCACTCTTGCCGCCCTAGTTTCTGTCATATCGGTGTTATGTTCCCGGATTTTTGCGTTCCTTACGCGGTTGGGTTATAATGGGAACCCCTTGACAGTCCGCCTTGAATAAAACTCCTCCAGCAATGCCCAACCTTGGTTTTACCATTTGCCACCTACCCTTTTCCCTTGGGTTTCGCGGACTCAAGGGCCATCTTATTTTAAACCCCCGGGCCAGTGCTCCTCTGAGCGTTGGTCCAACCTAGAGCACCGTGCGGTGCCGTCCCTTGGCAACTTGGGTTACGTTGGCTCCCGTACGCTTAGCTTATCCGGTGTGTCCTGAGAACGAGATATGTGCAGCTCCTATCGGGATTTGTCGGCACAGCGGGTGGTGTTGCTGGACTTGTTTTACCATTGTCGGAGTTGTCTTGTAGAACCGGAATACCGAGTCTGATCGGATTGTCTCGGGAGGAGGTCTATTCCTTCGTTGACCGTGAGAGCTTGTCATGGGCTAAGTTGGGACTCCCCTGCAGGGATTTGATCTTTCGAAAGCCGTGCCCGTGGTTATGGGCAGATGGGAATTTGTTAATGTCCGGTTGTAGATAACTTGAACCTTAACTTAATTAAAATGAATCAACTGTGTGAGTTACCGTGATGGTCTCTTCTCGGCGGAGTCCGGGAATTGAACACAGTGTTGGAGTAATGCTTGCCGCAGGTTGCCCCTAGTTATCCGTGCGCGCTTTGCCTCCTCTTCTCGCTCTCTTTTGCGAACAGGTTAGCCACCATACATGCTAGTCGCTTGCTGCAGCTCCACATATTTTTTCCTTGCCTTACCTATAAGCTTAAATAGTCTTGATCGCGAGGATGCAAGATTGCTGAGTCCCTGTGGCTCACAGATTACTTCCAAACCACGGGCCTGATAATTCCGCTCCAGATGACGCGCTTGAGCTCAAGTGGGAGTTCGACGAGGACTCACGCTGTTACTACGTGTCTTTCCCTGATAATCAGTAGTGGTGCCCAGTTGGGATGATCGGGACCGTGTCGCATGTTGGGTTATCTTTTATTTTGGCGCCGTAGTCGGGCCATGAGTGTTTGAATGTTGTAATGCTATTTATGTACTTTGTTTGACGTGACGAGTGTAAGCCAACTATGTATCTCCCCTTTTATTATCTATATTACATGGGATGTTGTGAAGATTGCCTAACTTGCGACATTGCTTTCAATGCGGTTATGTCTCTAAGATGTGCCTAGACACGTGGAAGCTATAGCCGCATCGAGGGCGTTACAACAAGGCATCGGGGTGTGCCCAGGGGGATGGTCGCGCCATGTTGCCTTGTGGGCAACTGGTGAGTCCCCTTTGGTATTTCTTTGGTCATATATTTTTCATATATTCAATAAAATATCCTCATGAAGTTTCAGGTCATTTGGAGATCTGTAGAATAGGTATCTGCTGTGACTTTTTAGGTCTAGAATTCCAGTTGTCGGTAATCTCTCTTTCCGTGTAAATCTTGCAAATTAAGAGAGAAAAGGCATCAAGATTGCATCATAAAGTGGAATAATGACCAAAAACATTGTAAATATTAGTAGAAAAACATGATGCAAAATGGACGTATCAACAAGGAGTGGAATTATGATGCCTCATTTTTGGCTAATGGATAGGTAAGATTTTAGTCCTCGTAGGCGCGACGCTCGAGCAGATTGGGCACTTTCTTTTTTGAGTCAGTCTTTCGGTCTTTGATCCTCAAGTTCGTCTATCAGGACGGATTAGACTGAGCTCAAAAATAGATTCTACCACCCCTTCGCGGCAGTGAGGTTAGGGTTTCTCATCGTACTTATGCGACGACGAGATTTGGTGTCAGCTTTTTTTGGATCGATTCAAGGGTTCAACCACGACGACTCTGGCTCTGAGGTGCTGGTCCTTAGGAGCATGTGCACAAAAACTTCCCGACTTTCATCGACAGGTCAGGCCGGCTCGAGGACGAGAGCGACACGTCTTCTGGTGGCGACAGTAGTCGTTCGGTGGTTCATGGACCTTGATGCAATTTTTATTATGTTTAAGGTGCTTTGTAGATGAATCTTTATAACATATCCGGTCTTCTTCACAAAACAAAAGGGGAGGGGGGTGCATGTTCGCATCCACCCCTCCCCTACGCCTCCACGTTCCACATCGCTTTTCTGGATACACCTCCACCTACCACATTGATTTTTCCCTTCAATTTGGTTTTTCCCTCTCGATCGTTCACCTCCACACCGTTTCTGTTTCTCCCTCTTAATTCATTTGAATCCATGTCAACGAATCAAATCGAACTTACCAATTCTCAAAAGAAAATAGAAACTTACCAATTCTCAAAAGACAACCGAAACTTACCAATTCCCATAGTACCTCAATACATGGCTGGAAAATTGCTGGACATGTGGTCGCAGCACGAGTCCATCGCCGCATCAAACAAACCCAATCCAACAAATCGTTTGTTTCCTTCTTCCAGATTACCTCATCCCCGAATTGAATTCTTCCCTAAACAAATATGGGTCGTGCTACGCATCGGCTGGCTGATCTTTTTAAAAGGTCGACCAAGTCGCGGGGCACTAGATATGACATCGTCGTGCGCCTGAGATTCAACTTCACCTTTGCAACAGATCTGCTGTTGCAGAAACCTATCCTCAGCTTTGCAACAAAGTGATGTTGCAGAAAACTTCTCAAAATAGGTGATGTTGCAGAAAATGCAGTTGCTATTGCTGGTGCATGCTGCGGCAGCATCGCTGACATTTGCCACACCGTTGTTGCAATCACAATAGGATCCTTGTTGCATAAAGGCAGCAAGGCCCTCGCCACATTTGCCCCGTGGGCAATGCCGGAGTTGGAGGTGAGGTCGGCGATAGGAGGGGCCGCAGCGGCGGAGAGGCGGCCGGTGATGGTAGTCTACAGATCTTAATGTATTTTTTATTATATTTAAGATGATTTGTATTTCTGATGAACTTTTATAATAGATCTGGATCCTTTTTGAAAAAGGAAATGAATGTGGCTAGATCTTAGTCGAACCAAATCCTAGTCAAGTGATAGAACATATAAAAAAGAAAAAAGAAAACAAAATACTTCAATGTTGGTAGTCTACAGATCTTAGTGTAATTTTTATTATATTTAAGGTGATACGTATTTTCGATGAACTTTTGTAATAGATCTGGATCTTATTCGAATAAGGAAATGAGTGTGGCTAGATGTTAGTCGAACCAAATTCCAGTCAAGTGATAGGACATATAAAAAAGCAAAAAATAAAATAAAATAATTTCTTTGCATGGATGTCTATGTATGATCATAAAATATAACATTAAGTCTCAATCGACCGAGATTTAGCAACTCTGAAAGAAAAAAAATCCTGCCTTTTCCCGCAAGATTAAATGTGGGGAAACATAGGAGTACAAAGTAGTAGTGCCACGAGTCGTACGTTTTGTTGAGGTGACATGTGATTGATTGATGAATGGGAACGTCTCTGGCTAATAATGCTGCCACATCAACCGATGCATATCCTTTACAGTGCATGCACAGTGCAAATGTTGGCTGGTGGCACGTACTTACAAACTCTCTCTTTTGTGTGTATGCAGTGCACACCACCACGTAATACTAGGGTATAAACTCGTGTTTGTTGTATGAATGAAACAATACAAAGCGTGCAAGCAAAGACATCTCGGTTTCTGGATCAGCGTTCCACCTCACTGCATGCATCCGCCGTGGCAACAAAGTGAACACCAACAAAATGAAGAAGAAGAAGAAGAAGAAGATGTGCGTGCATGGGAAACCAGCGGGCAACGGAACCGATGGGCCGGCGCCTCGGCGATCGGAGAGGTCCACCAAATTAAGGATCGCGCCGTGAGGCGCAAGCAGGTTAATAAACCGCCATGCACGCACGCACGAACAAGACAAAGGCGGTACGCCTCCATCTTTTTTCTTTTTCACAACTCCGTTAGCTATACTTGGCAAGCCAACCGGGAGACGCAAGCCCATCACGTAAAAAAGAAAAGGAAAAAAGGAAAAAAGAAAGAATGGTGCGTGAGAAGCGGTGGCTCGAGATCGATCGGACGGAGTAGTGAGCGCGGGTTTCTCGCACCGGCCGCGACGTGAGGAATCGGCAACGTACGCGGCCGGACGCGGCGCCCCTCTCCGTAGCCACCACCCCACGCGCCGCATCACGGTTCTTCTCTCTCCCTCTCTCTCTCTCGCACCGCCAGCC